TATGCTTCCACATTTATTAATTATTATTTTAGGGTTTCCTTTTCCAAAGTTTGCATGTAATGTCCCCATTTCTTTCCAGGTGTAGTCTCTGCTTAGCACATCCAGCTCAAGAATCAGGAAGAAGATCCATTGGCACATTAGGTCAACCCTCTCATCCACTCACAGTGTGCCCTGGTATTTTTAGTACAATTCAGTTTCCTAAAACCCTGATCAACTAATGTCATATCCACTAAAGTTGTTCTGAGTCTATAATGGGTTGCCGTCTGCTGTTCTTGTAACACAGTCCTGGGAAAAAGTCTCTGCCATCACTGTCAGAAATGTATTTTTTTGTAGTTTGTTTGTTTGTGACAGGGTTTCACTGTAGCCTCTCATTGACAGGGTCTCAGAGTACCCTTGAATTCACCATGTAGCCTAGGCTGGCCTTGAACCCGAAGCAGTGCTCATGCCTCAGCCTCCCGAGTGCTGAGATTATAGCCACATGCCACCACACTGGGCTTGGTTTTCTTTTACACAGCAGAGATCATTTTGGGCCTTAGACCTGAGCAGGTCAGAGTTCCTTGCTGGCTTCAGTATCTGTGGCGAATTTCCTGTTGTTAAATATCCCATTGAGTTCCCCTTTGTTACTATTGTAAATTAAATCTCCAGGCATGAATTGGCTTTATGAAACGCAGCATTTCATGTTCTGAGGGGCAACTGAGCCTGGTGGGTGCACACTTGGTGTGACGTATGCATGGAGGTTTGTTACTACCCAGGGTGGCAGGGCCCAGTTACTGGGTAATGACACTCTAGCTCCATCACAGACCCAGAAAGATCCGAGGATTCAGGGCTTCTGGACCTGGGGCTCCAGAAATTTATACTCTTCAGAAAGTCCCCAAATGAAGGTCATCTCCCAGGTTTACAAACTACCTAAGGAGCTGCCCTTGCTCATCTAGGGTTCCACACATCCCTCCCTCACCCCTCCTTGGGAGCCCAGGGCACATTTGTGTGAACACTCCAGCCAGAGATGTTATTGGGACAGAAGTTCACAGCAGGGCAGAGTGTTGGCGCATAGCATGTGCCACAGGGGCTGTCTTGGAGCCACAGTGAACAGTCTTCATGTGTTCTTTTGTCTTTTTTTGCAGTGGAGTCTCTACCACCATAGACCCCTTCTGGGACATCAGTTTAGACCTGCCTGGCTCCTCCACTCAGTTCTGGCCCCTAAGCCCAGGGAGCGAGGGCAGCATGGTAAACGGGGAAAGCCATGCATCGGGCACTACAACACTCACGGACTGCCTGCGGAGGTGAGACCACCTGCTCAGAGAAAAATGCATCTTCCTTACAGGAAGGCTGTGGAGAAGTTGTGGCTGGTCACCACAGAGTCCCACATTCAGGGCCAGACCAGGGTAGCAGTTTCTTTCTCAGGTCCAGGATAGAGCACTGAGAAGACGTATCAGCCTGCATTTGGCTATAGTGAATGCCCAGTAGCTCAAACTAGTTGTTTTTGCATGATGACTAGATATTTCTGTTTACCAACTTTGCATGATAGCAAAAATGCTAACTTACCTAACACAACCTTCTTAGGACAATCTCTGCTCACTGCTAGAAAATTACCATTTTTTTCTACACATTTGTATTTTTAAAAATTAAACTTTATGTTGAGATCATTGTAGGTTCCCATGCAATTGTAAGATACACAGATCTCACGTGTGTCTTACACCCAGTTTCCCAGTGATGACATCCTACAGTAGGAAATACATGCCACACCCAGAATGCTGACTGATGCAGTCAGGAGGCACAGCATCTCTGTCCCTACAGGGTCCCTCCCAGCCACGTCTTCCCCCACCCCCACCCCTACCTCATCCTAGCAGTGGAGAACTGCTTCCTATAATCTTCACATCTCAGGATATTTTGTAAATAAATTATAAAACATGTAACCTGTGGGGATTGTCTTTTCCCACCCATCTTAATTCCAAGTTGCTGTGGAGTTCATTCTTTTTGATTTCTGATGAGTATTCCATGGGATGGTGAACCACAGTTTGTTCAAACATTCACCTACTGAATGTTGTTTGGGTCGTTTCCACTTGTTGGCTATTATGAGTAAGTCAGGTCTAACAGTGTAGAGTTTTTGTGTAAATATAAATTTTCATTGTTCTGGAACAAACTGAAATGCTAGCATATATGGCAGTCAGGAATTATTGACATTACCATTTCCCTAGACCTTTCATTTAAACAAAATGCACAAGATAAGTCTTCATTAAAGAAGATGAAGAAAAAAAGTGTCTCATTTTTTGATCATGAAACTATAAACCTCCTTAACTATAGGCATGTGTTTTTTAGTAGAGAAATTAACCCAACAGAAGTGATAAAATGTCCCTGTCCTCTTTTTCCTGACCCTTACCTTTCCTGTCTTGTTTGCCTAAAATCGCTATTTTTAAATGCCTTGTAGATTTACCAGACCAGAACACTTAGGGAGCAGTGCCAAGATAAAATGCAGTGGTTGCCATAGCTACCAGGAGTCCACCAAGCAGCTCACCATGAAGAAGCTGCCCATCGTGGCCTGCTTTCATCTCAAAGTGAGTCCTCCAGAAAGCAAGCTCCATGGAAGGCCTAGCATGTGGTCTGCAGAACAGCCTTCCAGCTGCAGTTAGTCAATAGGAACCAAGGCAGCATAAGGATAGGCTGTGGCATACCCATACTTCCCCTCATCTCTGTCACTGAGAGAAGATTATTTAATAGCCCTCTAAATGCTTTTAAAAAAGATTCCTAGCTTGATAGCTGGATTTGGTGGGCCTTGATTTAGTCAAAGGAATGTCTTTTGTTTGGTGAAAGGAAACTATTGCTTTCATTTTTCTGCCACAAGTTACGGGTATATTGTCAGCACTTTTCTGAGTTCTGCTATGAAGTCCTCTTTTGTACCCCTGGTGTTTGTCATTTCAAGACTTGACTTGAACCCCATAAATCATATTTATGTAAATTAATACTGTGTTGAATCTATAAGCTCTAGATGTGGCCAAAAAGTAACTCAAAAATTGAAACAAACTCAGAAAAGCACCCATGGAGGGGCTGCTTCACACTAGTGAGCTGTCCCTGAGTATTCTTTCTGTTTGCCCTCCCCCTCTGTGTCTAGCGGTTTGAGCACTCAGCCAAGCTGAGGCGGAAGATCACCACATACGTGTCTTTTCCCCTGGAACTGGACATGACACCTTTCATGGCTTCCAGGTAGGAGAGCATTGGTTCCAGCCTAACTCCGGGGCTAAAGGGTCATCCTGGGCTAGCCCTGACCCAGCACCAAGTTTCTAGGATGAAGTGAGCCTAGCTGTTGATATGAACCTCGCCTTCCAAAACCTAGTTATTTGCCTTGATCTTAACCCAAGACACATTTCAGTAAATTGACTTTCCTTAGATAGGCAGCTCATACTTTGAGTTTTTCTCTAGCAATCTTTTATCATTTTTTAAACACGGAATCTCATCCACATGAGGTCACAGTGAGAAGACAGTGTTTTAGTTGATGGTAATGAATTTTGAAATACAGAAAAACTTATTTGATTTTGCAGTTGTGAATTTCATTTTCCTGTTTTTCAGTCTTCATTACCATAGATCCCTTAAAATTTAACCCAACAAGAAAGCATGACACTTACTAATATGTTTGTTTCTGTGGCAGCTGTCCCCAGATATACTGACTTAAAGTAGAAGCTTATTTTCTTATAGTTCTGAATCCGCGGTGCTGAGAAGGTCCACCTTTGAGGGTCCGGGCAGAATTCCATTCCTCGCCTCTTCTGGCTTTTGGTGGCTCCAGGTCTTTCTGTGGCCACATGACCGCCCTGACATCTGGTCTCAGGGCCTCCTCCAGAGTCTCTGTCTAGTCTCTCTTGGCTTCTCTCTCATACAGGCGTTGTCATTAGATTTAGGGCCCACCCAGATAACCCAGAGAGATCTCTTCTCTACATCCTTAGATCTCCAAAGACCATTTTGGGATTGAGATGCAGACATTACCTTTTTAGGTGCAGCCTAAAAAACCTGTTGCACCATCTCAAGTAAATTGCCTGTTGTTAGTTACTGACATCTTCCTGGTGTTGTTTCTCATGGTGGCCCTGTCTTTGTAGCTCCTAGATAACTGTCTTAAAATCTGACCATAAGAATTTAAACTCTGGGTTATCAGCCCACCCCTGGGAAATAAGTCCAACTAACTTTGATTTTATATCTCCAGAAAGATAATGAAGCTGTTGTCAACAGAAGGGCCTCAGAGATCTTACTAAGATCTTAATGTCTTCTGCTAACATTTGCAGTGGGTAAAGGTGTTAAAGCTTGGAACTTCTCATTTCCAGCACAGCCTCTCCCATTTTACCAGAAGCACTGGTAATGGAAGAAATAGCAGGAATCTTTGTTCTTTTTGAAGATGTTGAATGGACTTTGGGCCGGAACTTCCATCTTCCAGTAATTTGCCAAAATGATGAACACAAAGGGAAAGAGGAGGGGAACCCGGTATATGTTCTCTAGGCCTTTTAGAAAGCATAGGGTTGTTCCTTTGGCCACATACATGCGAATCTACAAAAAGGGCGATATTGTAGACATCAAGGGAATGGGTACTGTTCAAAAAAGAATGCCACACAAATGTTACCATGGCAAAACTGGAAGAGTCTGCAGTGTTATCCAGCATGCTGTTGGTATTCATGTAAATAAGCAAGTTAAGGGCAAGATACTTGCCAAGAGGATTATAATGCTTATTGAGCATATTAAACACTCAAAGAGTCAAGGTAGCTTCCTAAAACATGTCAAGGAAAATGATCAGAAAAAGAAAGAAGCCAAAGAGAAAGGTACCTGGGTTCAACTGAAGCGCCAGCCTGCCCCACCCAGGGCAGCACACTTTGTGAGAACCAATGGGAAGGAGCCTGAGTTGTTAGAACCTATTCCCTGTGAATTCATGGCATAAGCTGGGGATGTAGCTCTGCTGTGTGGCACCTAATTAGCAGCTGAGAGCCCTAAGCCCTACTTAAAAATAAAAAATCACCCTGTGTTGTAAGGATATTTTTCTTAATTGAACAGGTGGGTGGTGCCTTTACCTCAGAGAAACAAGTATTTGGAGCAGATTCTCATTATACCCAGTTAATTGTCAGGTCATTACTCTTCAGTGTTTTTCTTGCTGAAAGACGTGTGAAGTATTGTGCAGTTGTATACCCAAATGGCCAAATATTTATAAAATATTTATATTGGCTTGAGCTTCTAAATCACTTTGGGGACAAGATGTATCAAAATAAATGGAAGTCAGTATATGGCATTTCAGTTCAATAAATTGCTTAAAGCACCCTAAAAAAAATGATGTCGAATGGATTTAACTCACCCTCCACCTTTGAGAGGAGGAATGCATTCACCCTATAGTGTTTACAGCAAAACTTCCTTCGCAAAACCGATTCAGAAGCTGCTGGGGCAGCCCATGCCTAGGGTTGGTGAGACAGGCCCAGAGTCCCGGCCAGTCTGTCCTTCTGCAGGACTTTACTCTCCAGCCCAAGCCTCATTAACCTCATCAAAGCATGGGGATTATTTCTGCCTAAAACAGAGTTGTTGGAAGAACGGGAATGGGTATAAAGTGAACCCTTACACAGCATCTGCAGTGGTGGTAATCGTAGCACCTTAGGTCTCTACAATTGAATTCTAACTTTTACAGAATTTTGTTGCTATTTATTACAGCAAAGAGAGCAGGATGAATGGGCAGTACCAGCAGCCCACAGACAGTCTCAATAATGACAACAAGTAAGTGGGACTTGTGTGGGTGGCTGGGGCTTCCTTGAGGGGCAAGAGGTTGTCCTGCCTTAGGGGGTTGGCACAGATAGGAATAGCACTGGCAGCACTCCTAAGTCTCCTAGCCACTGACCTGCTTCCTGCCAGGCTCCGTGTTGCCCTTGCATGAGGCAAGCCCCACCCAGATAATCCAGGACCCTCTTGCCTCTGAAGTGTCCCTCCCACTGGGAGTTCATCCTTGTCCAGCCCTCTGGTATGAGTTTCTATCTGGAAATCTACACTTCCTTCACCGTATTTAATGTGGCCCTGTTTTGTCTGTGACTGTCCTTGCCATTGGTCTTTTATAAAGGGGGAATGCACAGGACAGTGACAGTCACCTCCACCACTAGTAGTCACCACCACTTGCATCAAGTGTGGTTCCACGAGCCAGCTGGTCCTGGACGAGAACAGAGTGAGCTACACCTGGCTCCCTTCCTCCCAACCCCCTGCACACTGCAGCTTCTGGGCATTGAGTTAGTCAGTGGGCAGCCCTTCCTGCTTGGGCAGTATCAGTGCCATTGGCCAGCTGTCCTCTCTTGCTCCTTCCTCCATACCAGATACTCCCTGTTTGCTGTTGTTAACCATCAAGGGACCTTGGAGAGTGGTCACTACACCAGCTTTATCCGGCAGCACAAAGACCAGTGGTTCAAATGTGATGACGCCATCATCACCAAAGCCAGCATCAAGGACGTGCTGGACAGCGAAGGGTGCGTCCCAGGCAGATGTGGGGTTGGAGGGAAGCCTCAGCAGCAACTCCACTCCTTTGTGTCCCCTAGGTCCAAAGGAGTGACAGTGTATAGCTCCCTCAGAGCCTTATGGTATGAAGTAATGGGACTTGTTCTAGATAGAGCATCACCTTGATAAGGCCAAATGTGCCTAACTAGAGGCACATTTTTTTTGGTACCGGGGATTGAGCTTGGGTCCTTGTGCTTGCACAGCAGGCGGCAAAATCACTGAGCTAGATCCCCGGCCCCCAGAGGCACTTTTGTTGCTGTCTTTTAACTTGGAGACCCAACGTAGTCTTTGTTTGTCTTAACCATGATGTGAACTGAGCACATCAGTTCTTTATCCACTTCTGTGCTGGTTTTGTTGCTGCAGCACAGAGAACTATTGCCCTACCAGAGACCAGGGAAACTGTTGTCATGCTCCACCTGAGTGTCACTAGACTGAGCTCTGATGGGAAGCAGGATTCATGGCTCCAGTAATTTTTGAGAATTTGGACATGAAGGTTCTGAGCTGGGTCCAAAATCCACCCCACCCATTACCCCTCACCCGCAGTTTTGCCAAAAGAGACGTGTGTTGGAGGGCAGTAAGGGCATGCACCTGTCTTAGTGGTTACAGTAATCAGTAGATCCCACATTAGGGCAGTGGCTGTCATAAACGGACAATAGGGAGTACTTCAGGGGGTCAGTGAGGCCATGGTGACTCCTTGGGGGGGGGGGGGGCAGGGGGAGGGAGTTGGCAGGTGGGGCAGTTTTACCCAGCCAGCAAGGGACTCTTTCCTTCAAGGTGGAAAAACTAAAATCATGAGCCAAGAGGTCACATACGTGCAGATCCCCTCCACAGACATCCTTACGCAGTGCAGACTGTCTCAAAATGGAATTGCAATGAAACCCTTTCTCTCTGCCTCCTCAGGTACCTGCTATTCTACCACAAACAGTTCCTGGAATATGAGTAGCCTTATCTGCAGCTGGTCAGAAAAAAGGAAGGCAACAAGTTAGCAAGCCTCATAAGATGACCCCCAGCCTCCCTGACTCCATGATACCGCCTCCCTTGCCAGCATCTGCCCACATGGCTCCTCTGTGAGGGGAGCCGGTGCCAGAGTAGACATGCGCTGCAGAGCCTTGCAGGAGATAGCTGAGTGGGGCATGTACCCTGGTGGGAAAAGAGCCAGGACACCCTCACTGACAGCTCTCCTGTGCTCCTTAGAGCTCCATGGGGTCCAGGGGTTCTCACAACACAGAGCAGCTTTTGCCTGGTGTTTCCTTCCCACATGCAGAGTTTAAAAGGTGCTCGCCTGTTCAAAACTTTTGGGTCCATTGATGCTGTAAAATAGACGTTCAAGGACAGAAGACTTGCATGCACCTTTCTCTCGGGGGAGGGCCTGGTAGTGTGTAGTGTGAACTCCTCACCCCATTTCCTGCAGCTGTCCAGCAGCTCCAGAGCCTACGGACCCCAGGCCTCGAGTGGCTCCAGGTGTCTGTTCCGCAGGCAACTCAGTGTCCCTGCATGTGGAAGCATCAGCCCAGGTGTCTCCTTCCGTTGTCCTAGGATAGGCGTTTTCTTTTCCTTCCCTTTCTTTCCCACAGTGGTGAATTTATAAGTGTAATAATAGTAAAGTGAATGATTATCAAGTTTTACTAAAATCTAGATAGTTTCTCCCTTATTCTCAAGAGTGAGCCTTGCTTTTTTAACTAGTGCTGTTCTGTTGTTCCCCCCTACGCATACACCTTTTCCCTCCCCAGGAACAGCATCAAAGGCTGTGGAGGACTGGCTGCCACTCAGAAAGGTGTTTTGATTAATGAAGAGTTTCTTGGTGGCTCCATTGGCCCCCTTCCTCCCCTTTTCCTTTTTTTCTCTCTGGTCATTGGTCTGGTCCCAGTGCCTCTCCAGGGCTGTGTGGTGTCCATGCATTGGATTTGAAGCTAAAGGGTCCCTGATGTGTGTCTCTGCATTTGCTGTGATTTCGGTTGTAGTGGGAATAAAATGACTTTGTGATTGAGCTTATCAGCAGACCTAATCAAGGATGTTCCTTGTCAGATATCTTTGCATGAATCTTTCAATTCAAACCCAGACAATTCTGAGCAATGACAACCTGGGGGACTTGAGGTTAGGAGTGCAGTTTTAACCTAGCTTGTGTCTCTCTGCTGTCCCTGCTCTGCAAGAGCTGTCTGTATGTGTTGTGGGGTGTTCATCCTGGAGGAGCAGGGCAAGCTGTAGCCAGGTCCACAGTGCTTCTCTTAGCACCAGGATGCAAGTTGTATAGGCTTTGTGGGCTTCACCTTTTCTGTCACAGGTAGTGCTAAATAGTGAGCATGCCGTGTTGTAGTACATAGTCCTGTACTCGTGGACTGTGAAATTTGAATTACATACAATTTTCAAGTGTTAAGAAATTTTTGAGTTTTTTAAAAACTATCTGAAAATGATAAAACTCCTTAGCTGACTGGCCACACAAAAAAGCAGGCAGGGTCTGGTTCATAGCTAGTTAAGTTGGGGTGGGGGCAGTGAACACAGGAAGCACCAGTCACAGAGTTGGCAGGTTGCAAAGTAGCCACAGTGGTATGGTGTGTAAGCTCTTGCCTAGTTCATTTCTCTGTTGTATTTCTGCATTTAAAGAATACGTGTTGATGTGTGGTTTAAAATAAGCATCTTCAGAGGAATTTGGATGGGCCCAAATTTTCAGGCCTGGCCCCATGCCACCAGGTTCTACATGTCTGTGACTATGCTGTGAAGCTCTCTCTGGGGAAGAGATGTTGTCTCTTAATCAGGAACATATCTGTTGGAAAGGAGACATAGCTGAAGTCGTCCTGTAGGGCTCTGAGCCGTGAAGCCCTCCCTTCGGTGCCCTGTGATGCCTGGCCTTAATGGTTGTTTGGGAACAGGTGAGAAACAAGCAGGTGTGCCGACCAGGCCTGCTGCCCCATCCCTACCCACCCCCTACCTGCCTCTGCTTGTGTACAGTGGCATTGTTTGTTGTGGAACATTATCTACAGAAAAAGCCACATCAGTTTTTTATAGGCATTATTTTAAACTTTTATCCAGATTATTCCCCTGGTCTGTGGTTTTGGCATTCAAAGCACTGTCTGGGCCAGAGGCCCGGCGTATCACATTCCTGCTTGGCCTTGCCTTATGCTGGGCAGGCCCTCAGCATAAGGTCCCCCATTTGATATGCTCATGTGTATTTGCTTTGTAGGGAACATCTTTACATTATAGGTTTGGGCATCTCTTTTCTTAGCTCCCAGTCTGGCTACTGAATCAGGAAAATGGTTTGCCTGTTTCCTCATAACCAACCTGTGTAGGTGTTCAGGTTTTCCCAGATGGACTCTTACACCCTGCCCCTCAGAAAATTAAGAGAACCTGTATTTCTAAGATGCCAGCTATCATCTCAGAGCTTCATCATAGCGCAATGGACCTTTGCTCGTCAGACATCTAAAGGGAGCATTTGAGCATGTGAAGTACCAGAAGTGAAGGGTGGCCCAGGACAGAGCGATGTCCCCCCTCCCCACCCCAGGGCCTCTCCCAGCAACACCCTGTGCTTTATACCTGAGTGCCATCCTACCTTAGCTTGGTGTATATGCTTTCCTTGTGTAAAATCGCTGTTCTTTTGACAATTCAAGTGACTTGTTTTGTTTATTGTAGCTGAAAACAAACATTGTAAGAAAAAATTTCCATAATTGTGCTGTGATTCAAGATTTTATTACCAAAATGTTTACACCCACCTTCTCTGTGTCCCTTTGAGGGCATTTGGCCCTCTCCACCCCAGTGGCTTGTAGTCTTTCCTGTGCTATAATAAAGCTACATTTTATTCTGAAAACTGGCTTATTGTTCTCTTCCTGACACAGGCTGCCAGATGTAGAATGGCAGGGGTGCAAGCCCTGAAGAGGTGACCCAGTGGGGCACACAGTCTTAGGCTCCTCTGGGTACTGGGAAGTCTCTACCCCACTTCCTCCTCTGGGATTGCCCACTGCCTTTTAACACTTGCTCCTCCTTTTTGGCCAGGAGGATGACATGGAGGATTTGAAACAGCCATAGGCCTTCAGACATGGGCATGCATGAGAGTCCCCTGAGTACCTTTCAGAGGTTGAGGAGCCTATGCCAGCTCATCACTCAGCAGCCTGGCTATGGCAGTGGGACGTGCTTCTACATGATGACGAGGTGGCAGATGTGAAACCAACATGAAAAGTAGAGAGGAAATTGGCACAGCTGGGTGAGTCCAGGCCTCTGAGACTGGTTGGGGCTATAGTGGACTTTCTGCTGTCCCTCATACTCCCCCCTGCCCTCAGATTGTCAGCCTCCTTACCTGGTTAACTCAGATCTTCAACTCTGAAAGAAGTAAGATCTCAGTCGTCTCCCCCTCCTTATCTAGGTACCTCTGATGCAAACCTTTGTGGCAAGTTCTCTTCCTGGACATACTGAGAAGCACTAGGGAATCCTTCCATTTCCCCGCTGTGCAGCACCGTCTTCAGATTTTACAGGTCAAGAATAAAAAAAGTCTATAATGGAGTTATTAGCCACCCCACCCCAGTGCTGGGGATAGAACTCAGAGCCTCACATGGCACTCTAGCCCTGTTACAGTATTTAGGAGCCAATTGCATATTCCCACTTTGATCCTCAGACCCATGTGCTGTTTTGGGCTTGTGGGGAGGGAGGGTTTCCAGCACCAGTGGTTTCTAATTCAGACAAGAAGTCCCCACTAAGACAGCCTCCTTGCCTTCCTGTAGCAGCTTTCTTTAAGCCCCATTGCATTGCAGGGTGTCCTGCAGACAAGCCTGTGGCTGCGCATCCTCTTGTGAATCAGGGATCCTGGCTAGTGGGCATTGCTGGTAGGATGCCAAGGGCAGGGCAGGGAAAGCCATACTCAGGACACAGCTTTATTGCAGCAGAAACCTCAGCCCCTCCATGATGGAAGAGGTGCAGTGTATTCATGCTGCCACCAGGTGATCCCTGGTCCTAGGAAATGATGCTACCCCAGAGTTAAGCAGTAGTCCATTAGCTCAGGGAAGTTGTCGGAAGTGCCAGCCTCATGGACCTTGGTAAGAACAAGAGTAGGATATTGAGCCTGCTTAGTCTGTATTCTATCTAAAGGTCACTTCCTCATGGACCCTGAGCAGCCACAGAGGCTTGACAAAGAAGCTGCCACACCCACAGTTGTGCCATTTTATCCACCTGAATGTTGACAGTATCCTCTGTAGTGATTCTGTTCCCGCTGAGAGGACAGACTAACCTTAGGATTCAGCACTGCACTCTTGAGCTGTGAGTGTACCTGGTCAGAATCTAGCAAGTGTCCACACAGTGACAGACTTTTCACATTGACTCTGGGATAAGAAAGGAAGCTATCTGCAGTGAGGAAACAGTGCAGTTAAGAGGAACCACTTGCAGTGTGGGCTGGTGGAACAGTGGGTGAGACATGGCTTGGGCAGGTTTTTTTTGGATCCCAACTTGCCTGTAGACAGACAAAATAGAGGTGCCCTCAGGGAGGGTCTTTATTGTAAGCTAAATTTGTTCCCCAAACTTATGTTGAAGTCCTACATCCAGTGCTTCAGAATGTGATCTTATGTGGAGAAAGAGTCTTCACAGAGAGAAGTTAAAATGAAGTTATTAGGGTGAGCCTTAACCCAATATGACTGATGTCCTTAGGGAAGTTTGGATCCAGAGACGCAGAGGGAAGACAAGGTGGGGCACGGAGAGAAATGTCTACCTCTGAGCCAAGGAGCACCCAGCACAGAGGCCCTGTACTGTCTGAGAAGGAACCCACTGTGCTGACACCTAGGTCTCACATTTCCAGCCTGCAAAACTGCACAGTCACTTTCCAGTGTTGAACCTGCCTGGTCCACAGCACTGTGAGTGGCAATCCTAGCTGGGCTGGCAGCCTGCGGGGGTGAGGAGCCGACACAGTGGAGCAACCGGCTGTCTGGTGGGTGCTGTGCGGCTCTCTGGGGTGAGCAGTCAGGGTGGGCAAGATGAGTGATTTCAGTTTACATAACCATGTTCTTACCTGACTCTAGAAATGCTTCTAACAGTGCTCGTGCAACTTAAAGTTCAATTGCTAGTAAAAATGTAGGTTTAAGTTACCAAGAAAAAGAAAGAAAAAAAAATCAATTTATTTAGAAATGAAAGAGGCAAAATCAGCAATGGTTGCCATCAAAATCCAGAGAATTGGGCCAAGGATTTAGCTCAGTGGTTCTGCCGCCAGCCTTGCAAGCGCAAGGACCTGAGTTCGATCACCGGTACGAAAAAAACAAAAATCTAGAGAATTATGAAGAACTACTTCCAAAAGTTATACTCAAATAAATTGAAGAACCTAGAAGAAACTCAGTTGCATAAAAATAACACCAAAAACCAGCAAATGGAGTTACATAAAATTAAGCCTTCCACATAGCAAAGGAAACCAAAAGAGTAAAGAGACAATCTACAGAATAGGAAAAAAAAATTTTACCAACTATACCTCAGACAGAGTTTTTAATCTAAAATATACTGTACAAAGAAGTATAATAAAAATTTTAAAAAGCTTAATCAGGTATGGTGGCATTTCCCTGTAATCCCAGCACTGAGGAGGCTGAGGCAGGAGGATTGCTGCAAATTCTAGGCCAGCCTGGGCTACATAGGTTAAGGCCAGCCTGAACTACAAAGTGAGAACCTATCTCAGAAAACAAAAAGAACAACCAAAAAATTACATCCCTCCAAAACAACCCAATCAAACAAATGGACAACTGAAATGAATAGGTACTTCTCCGAAGAAGTACAAACGGCCAATAAATATGTGAAAAAAGGTTCAGCATCTTTGGCCATTAGAGAAATGCAAATTAAAACAAGACAGATTCCATCTCACTCTAGAAAGAATGGTTATTATCATCAAGAAATCAAAAAACAAAAAATGCTGGTGAAGCTGTGGTAAAAACCCATCTATATTGTTGGTAGGAACATAAATTTGTACAACCACAGCTTTTTACATTCCTCAAAAAAATAAAATAAAATTCTTTTTAGTCCAAGTATACTTCTAGATATCTTCCCAAAAGAGTTAAAAGACATCTCTTATTTTTAAAAAAGACATCATATTACAGTGACACGTGTATAGCAGAACAACCCACAATAGCTAAATATTGGAAATACTCAACAGATGAATGAAGAAAATGTGATATTTAATGGAGTACTACTCAGCTACAAAGGATAAATTTGAGTCATTTGTAGGAAAATGGATGCACCTGGAGACCTTAACATTAAGTGAAATAAACCAGACAAAGAAAATTAAATATTGCATAATTTCTCTTATGTGAGAAACCAAAAGTATAAATAATTTGAAGAGGAAAATAAAAGAGATGATAGGAAGTAAGAGATAGACTGGGTGGCAGTGGGAAGGGAAACTAGGGATGGGAGAAGAGGGGAAGGAGGGCAAGGGAAGTGGAGAGGATATGCCTATGTATCAATTCCCCACGATGAATGCATTCATTATGCATCCCAAACATACACTGACAGAAAAAAGAAAAAAGCCATAATAATGTTGACCTTCAGATAGTTGTACATCTAATGAAGAGATTTCCTATTCTGGACCACTGGAGGTGAACCCTGCTTCATTAGAATATTTTATTATTTCAATACTCAGATAAATTTTATTCACTAGTATTTTGTTAAGAATTTTACATCAAGGGCCGGGGATTTAGCTCAGTGGTTTCGCCGCCTGCTGCACAAACGCAAGGACCAGAGTTCAATCACCAGTACCAAAAAAAAAAAAAATTTACATCAATATTCAAAGTAAAATGTATTTGTTTTTTTTACTTTTGTGGTAGGCTTATGGTATTAATGTTATTATGAGGGTACATAAAATAATTTGTATGTTTCCTTATTTTCCCATACCCTCAATTCATTTAGAGCATAAGTGTTCTTTTCTTGAATGGCTCTATGTGTATGTATATACGTGTGTGTGTGTGTGTGTTTGTGTGTGTACTTGTGAACCCATTTAGATACTGGGGATTATAACTTTAATACCTCCATTAATTGCCTCTATTGCCAATGAACAAAATGTTTCCATCTTTCTAGGGAGAAACATTTAGTGTCTCAAAGTTTTATTAAAAAATACCCATTGTTTAAAAAAATGGATGCAAACTAGGCATAGTGGTGTACACTATAATCCCATATAATAATACATAATCCATATATATAATCCTATATATTATACTTGCACACCTATAATCCCAGCACTCTGGGAGGTTGAGGCAGGAGAACTGCCAGTTAAGAGTGCAGCCCACCAAATCAAAGCAGTCTCTAGCTGAGGTCCAGGGAACCTCCATCATTTTTTCAGACTTGCCATCATCAGCTCCAATTGCTTTCACCTTCCTGTCTGTCGGCACTGCACTCATGCACACACATACATTCACACACATGCACATATACACACATCCACAGGTGCACACACATGAATATGCACATACACACACACACACACACACACACACACGCACGCCCGCGCTTCGTGCACTCACCCCGGACGTGCAGAGGGAATTGGCGTTTGTAAGAGAAGTGCAGACCATGCCGCCCTGGCTTTCCAAGTGTCTGCAACACCCGCCCCCTGCAGGCCATCTCCTGTCTTGGTGGGTTTCCCTCGTAGGTGCAGCTGAGAAGCAGAGCCCCCGCATGCCTGCTGTGTGCGACCCACAGGGATCTCAAGGTCTCTGGGTTGATGCTCGGCCTGCAGCTAAGATGACGGAGCCCGAGCCTGGGGAAACAAGGGCAGACGCCTGGGTTCACCAGAGGGAAGACACGTCAGACGCTAGAGGTGAGGGCAGCCGAGACGTTTATTCGGACACGGGCTCCTGGAGCTGTGACCAGCGGGCACGTACAACTCTTTGGCTTGTGTGTGTGTAGGTGATATCGACCTACGGTTTGCACTGGGCCAGGAGACCAAGGGCGTCTGCCTTCCCACGTGGCACCCCTCTGTCTCCGCTCTTTCCTCCCTCTTTCATCCTCCTTCCGTTGGCTTCTCCCCGTCTCCCCCATCCCGCCCCGTCGATCTCCCCCACTCCCCAGCTTCATGCTCCCGAGCCTCCATCCTGGGCAGGCGCGCACACCACACTGAGGCCGCTGCTGGGCGCGCGCGCACGGGGCTGCTGGACTGCGGTCGGAGCGCAGCGCCCCCACATGCCCTGGCCTGTGGCAGGGCCTGGAGTCCCGGGCGCACCCGCGCTCTCCTGGGTGGGCGCTCTGCGCTCGGGGAAGCAGAAGCTGCACGTCTCCACCGGTTCGGGCGACGCGCCTAGAGCGCCGCCAGTTTTCGTCACGGGGTCTGTGGGGACAGGAAGGGCGTCGGCTGGCGCGGGGGTGGGGGAGACTCTGCACCCCTCCCTCCGACCACCTGTCCTGAATAGTCCCCCCCATCTAGGAACCAAGGGCCAGCCCGGGCCACCAGAGGATCGCCCCACTGTGTGTTGTGACCAAGGCAGACAGCTTTCAAATTTTGACTCTCAGCTCTGCTCGCGCCCCAAACCAGCCAATCCCCCTTGCACCCCACCCCCCACCCCCACTCCTCAGTCCCTGCAGGGCGACCTCCACCTCCTAGTCTTGTCTCCTGGAGTCTGCCTCCTGGGAAGATGGTGGGGGCCACGTGCACCCACCTGTCCCCCTCCCAGGTGTTTTAAGGTGGTTTTAGCCATCCTGTAAAATGCGCCCTGCACCTCTCCTGGAAACAGGGCAAAAAGCTGTCCCTGCAGAAGCAAGAGCAGAGACCGATTGCAGGGATAACCCAAGGCTTGTTTAAACACTCACTGTGGGAGGACTTGTCTTGGGCTCTGCCCAGCTCTGTCGGGGGCTGGCTGGAGAGTACATCACCCCTCCTCTTGAGGAAACAGGCCACCACCACCAGGAAGCAGCAGATGATGGCACAGAGACAGAGCCCCAGTGTGCAGTAGACCAGAGCCAGCTGGTCATTGCTCAGCTTTGGTCCTAGAGGTGCTGCAAGACAGCATGACATCCTGGTTTCAGGAGAAACCTCACTCTCCAGGGCCTTCCCTGAAGTCCTGTCCCCTTAAGCCAGCAGCCACTATCCACCATCCCTAGCCCAGGTACCCACAGGCCCTCAATGCCATGATCTTCTTCTCTTTAGGCTAAGCAATCCATATGGCCAGCTCCAGCCCTGGCCTGTTGCAGGCGCATCTGGCTGATGGAATGGTGGATTCCTTTCCTGACCTAAGGCCTGGCTGACATGCTTTCTGGATCCTAGAGGATTTGACTCCTTCCACCCTATACTGATAGTAACTTCTCCCAAGACCTCAAAGCTGGACACATCTGGAGCTGGCCCCTTCTGTTGTCTCCACTTACTGAACAGCTCCAGAGGTGGATGGATCAAAGCATGGACAGTAATCCAGGGGAAAATGTCATGTGTCCAATGAGAAGCCTTTCTGGGTGAGCTTACACTTTGGGAGCAGGGCCAGGGGGATTGAGCCTGAGGTACAGCTGGAACCAAGAGGGAACTGGAAAAGAGCCTCCAGTGAATGCCAGAGGAAGACCCAGCTCAGGACCAAAGCCCACCCTTGACACTTCTTTTAATCCCAAATTCTGGTCCCTGGAATTGAGGCATGTCCTCCAGTGGCAGCAAACCTATGGCACACGTGCCACACTGGGGTGTTTATCACTGAAAGCTCTAAAAGGCTCTCCATCACTGTGAGTAGAGGAACCGCTGAATCTGATGTAACATAATATACTCATGCTTGATGGGGAGCACCTTTTGGGCCATTCCATGTGCCAGACACTTTCTATAAAATACTCTCCTTAATCCTCCTGCTCCAACAGAGGAGCAGTTACACCTATTTTAAAATGAGATGCAATTTATATACCATCAAGCTCACCATTTTAAAGTACACACTTTGGTGGTTTATAACACATTCACAAGATGCTCACCCATCTCCATTGTCTAATTTGAGACATTCCTGTCACCCAGAAACAACCCCTGCCCCGTAAGCAGTCACTCATCACCCATTCTCCCCTCATCACTGGCAACACTCTGCTCTCTGTCCCTGTGGGTATATGTGTTCTGGATACTTCACATAAATGGAACCAACATGATGTGGCCTTTTGTGTCTGGCTTCTGTCACTTGGCTTGGCATCATGTGTCCAAGGCCCACCTGTGCAGGGTCACATATTCATTTGTGTGTGGCTGAGTAATAGTCTGTCGTTTGGACAATACCACATTTTGTTCATCCATTTACCAGTTGTTGGGCATTTGAGTTGTTGCTCCCTTTTGGCAACTAGAAAACTGCTATGAGCACACACGTACAAGTCATTGCACGGATGTTTGTTCCCAGTTTTGGGGGGTCTGTGCCTAGGAGGAGCATTGCTGGATCATAAGATGCCTTAACTTTTTAAGGAACTTCCAGAGTACCATGCACAGCACCCCCACCATTTCAATCACTCCATTTTGCACATGACACATTGTTCACATTGTTCCCGGTCTTAGACCTGCAACTGGAAGCAGACCTGAGCAACTCCCCCACACCAGTGCTCCAGATCAGCATGTCAGACAGAGGTCACACCAGGCCAGTGCTGCCCCTCACTTGTGCACATAGTCTACACCACAAGAGTTCATAAAGACGGGGCTGACAGGACTCCTACTGCTTATCTGGCAGAAGTAGACAGGAGTCTGAATGAGTTGGCATCGCCATGTTTACTGCCCTTCATGTCCTGAGCCCAAGGAGGAGGGGAAGAGAGGGAACTCAGCCCCTACCCGATGGGCCATCCCCCAAATGCTGTGGCTCACGATGTAGTACTGTACATCTGGAGCCTGGGGCTCTGCTCCCACTGGCCTGTGGTGCATACTGGCTAGATCAATGAGGGAAAGTTGGCAGAATTCACAGCAGAGACAGAATGCCAGCCATAAGACTATTCCTGAGTGGAAATAGGTTGCTGTGTTGACCCAAGGAGAAGACCTGAAAACATGCTTTCACCATGAGGTTTAAACACCAGGACCACACTCTGCAACTGTGACAGTGAGTGTTTAGAGCCAAGCTTCCAGGGACTCTGTCCCCAGCACTACCATTTCTGGCCCCATGAAAGACCTCAAGGGAGAGCAGCAGACCTGCCCAACTGAACCCCATTACTCCAGAACAGTGAGAGATAATAAAATTGCTGTGAATTTTAGGGCACTAAACTTCAGGTAGCTTTACATGCCATGATGGTTGACCAGCACAGAGCCCTTTGCCCCTGAGGGAGTCCCTGCCTTTCTTTGCTCCTCCTGCCCAGACCAATGATTTGAGTTTTCCTGTTAGGAACAAAATTAGTTCCTGTTTGGAGACCTGCCCATAAGATATTCTTTTCAAAGCCTCTGGGCTAGGAGGAAAAATACACATTAAAACAACAACAAAAAAGTCATTTTCTACCTGTCACGCAAGGATATCAGAAAACAGGGACCTTAAGTATTTTTGAGGGGCCATTTGGGACCACCTCTCACCATTTCAGATGTACTTTCCTGATTTCAGTTGACTGTCAGTTTCACATATGGGGTTATGTCCTCCCAAATATACACAGATATTCACTGCAGCACTGTTCACAATAATCAGACTCAACACAGCCTGTGAGGCATACACAGTCACTAAAATGAACAAGGTGGGTCCACGTGTCTTGAGATGCAACAATCACCAGGAGCGACACAGCAAGGTAGGCACTCTGACGCCACCATGGTGAAGAGACATAAATGTGCCTCCATATAAGATTATGTTGGAAGACCAGACAAGAAACTGCTAATTTGCATTGCTTCTGGGGAACCTTGGGTGTCAGGTGAGACCCATGCATACCTGTTATTTTTAAGCCAATACTGTATTTGTTTTGTTTTTTCTCTTTTGCATTTTGTTTTTAAGAACTGTTTTCAAAGCCAACTCTCTCACCTAAGAATAGAATTTCCCTGGCCTGCCACTGCCATGGCTCAGGCTCAGGATGTCCATGTCAGCTGCATTCCAGTTCACCTCTCCTTTAGGGCTTCACACAGGAAACCTTGCAGCCCCAGTCCAGCTTGAGCTCAGGTGGGTGCATGGGGCGTGGGGGGCACCTGTTGCCACAACTGAATGTGGTGTTGGACATTGTACTCTATTTCTTTGTGACTCCATTTCCTCATCTGTAAAATGGGGTCAGATATTCCTGTTCCTCAGCATCACTTTACATCAGTGAGATAATACATGTGAATCCATAGGAGGCCACAAGGTCTGGATGGGAAATTCCAGAAAACCGCCAAGTGGTCCAAGGCCTCTCTTCTCAGCTAGCCATGGGGAAGGAACCTGAGAGGAAGAAGTGGATGGAGGGTGGCTGGGCAGAGCCTTGGGAACCCTAGTGCTGGTGCCTGGCTTGGGGGTCCCCTCCTTCCCAAGAGACTCTGGGAGCTTCATGTCTACCTGGCACCCTGGGCTCCCTTCCACCCTCTGCGCTTCTCTGCTTCCCTCCTGCATTGTCTCTCCTTCCTCCAAGTTCTATGCATATTGGATGATGTTTAGTTGAATGTATGATGCAGAGGGGTTTCCTGTATGAGCCAGCAGCAGCCTCCTATTAGGTCTCAATTGGCCTTCCCTGCAGAGGAACCCACTGCTGTGTGTGTGTGTGTGTGTGTGTGTGTGTGTGTGTGTGTAAGTTGGTAAGTGAGTGGGAGGGTGGCAACAGCCCTCACATTTAGGGTGTGGACTTTCACCAAAACCCCAGTTTCCAGAATGTCACATCCCCTACTCCATCTACCTCTGGGATCCCTTAGTTTTTCTGGGCCTACTTCTCCTGGAGTGATTCTACCCTGCTGGAGGGAGGAGGTTGTCCTGGCTGTACCAGTGCTCCTGTTTCCAGCCCTCTGCCAGCCACCTGCTGGCCTACCGTGGGCCAAGTCTCTCCAGTGCCTCCCTGGAGCCCATATCCTACTTCAGCTGCTGCCTTTTTTTACTTTCTTTTTTTTTTTTGTACCGAGGATCAAACTTGGGTCCTTCTGCTTGTGAGGGAGGCAGCGGAACCACTGATCTAAATCCCCAGCCCAGCTGCTGCTTTTTCTTTGGCTCTACTCACAGACTAATCTCTTCTTCCCTCTCTGTCACTCACCCATCTCAGCAGGTCCCAGGACCTTGGCTTCAGCCCTGGGGAGTGTTGTCCTGCTTCCACTGTGACAGTCCAAGGACAGCCAGAACAACAAAAAAAAGGAAACCCTTTAGGCCCAGAGACAAACAGAAACCAAATAATAAAACCAGCACTGAGGCTACCCTGTCCTGTTCTAGATTTCAAAATAAATGAAACCTTGATAAGTTCCTGGACCAATGCCATGTGAACCCTTGACCCTGGTAGCACTGATCACTAAGGTCTGAGCCAGGTCTGGACTTAAAACCATGATCCTTACACAGAGAACTGCTTGGTTCTTACCAGGAATTACTGTTGAAGAAATCACAGGCAGTCATCATTGTGGACTAAGCTCCTGTACTGGCTGCAACAAGCCAGGCTAAATATCAAAATGGAGTCACTCACGCTAAACTTCCATGTCACCATGCTGAAACCAAGCTGTTCTGACTTTCTGAGAAATCAAGATCAGAGACTTATCAGCCAAATTACTCAAACAGAAATTTCCCGATACATCATGTACAGGTACAAGCACCCAATAATAAATGTAAATGTATTGTTTACCTAAAATTTACCAATAAAAGAATTTAAGGAAAAAAATTTTTAAAAAGAAATTTCCTCTGTTTTAATCTCCCACACAAAAGTTGACCTGGAGTAACTTGATGTTAATCAATCAATTCTCTTTCTATTATTCTGCCTCGATGTCCCTACCTTACAAGGAATGAAACTTTGAAACAACCAATCTGCTTGTTCTATTTCGGCTCACCTCATTGGAATATTTATTCTATTTTATGGAATGAAGTGTTGTTTGATTCTAGAACCAAAAATAAAGCCAGTTAGGATTGTTAAATTAATTGCTGTCATTTTATCCTTTGACAGGACCAACTGCAAACCTATTCATCTCAGGTCACGGTGCTTCCTTCACTTCAAATGCTGACTGTGCTTGCTTGTTGGCCTGGAATCTCACACCCACCCAGCATCTCACTTGACCTCCCTCCAAATTCAACACCATGGCCCTCTGGCTCCCACCTCCTCTCCTCCCTGGGCCTCCATTCCACTGCTTCTGGCCAGTTCACATTTCTGTCTGGCAAAGTCAGGCTCACTTGAGTCAGAGGACTGAGGACCCGGCAGATGGCTGTGCTAAGCAGGAGGGCAGAGGAAGAGTTCAGGCTTGTTGGCATCAAGGACCATGAGAGAGGAGTTTGAGGCCAGTGGCGGGGCGGGCGGGGCGGGCGGGGCGGGGAGCCCACAGCCCTCCTTGCCCACAGTTGGAGCAGAGGAGGCCACCAGGGGCTGGATGAGGGGCTTTGGGGGCAGCTCATCTTGCTTTTAGACTCCTCTCCCTAGAAGTATAAGCAGATCACAGTGTTGTTTTAAGCCAGTTACAGCAGCCACAGGAAGCTAAGACAGCTCACCCGGTGAGGGCAGCTGGCCCTTGTGTGCAAGGAATGGTCTTCACACTCAGCAAACCCAGAGTCACTTAGCTTGGGAGGGCCCCATGAGGTAGGTGCCCTCATAATCATCACAGGTGGGGAGAGATGGACACAAGCAGTCACCAGAAGGTGAGGCTGGAACCCACCTATAGGGAGCGGGCCAAGGGTCACTCAGGAAACCACCTGCCAGTCTTAGCCTGGGCCCCAAGGGAACCCATGGATGGAATCTAGGGGCTTTGTGACTTGGCGGCAATATTTCCAGATCCCCCTGAAGCAGTTTCAGAGAGCCCTAAACATCTTTTGTGCTTATCATTAGTTTGAACACACTGTTGTCATTGGTCACTACTTGGAGTTGGTTCTCTTAAGGCATGGACACAGAAGCACCTTGTTTTTTTTTGGTGGTGATGGTACTGGGGATCGAACCCAAGCAGCTATATCCCCAACCCTTTTTTAAATTTTTATTTTGTTTTTGCTTTTGTTTTTTGCAACAGGGTCTTGCTAAATCACCCAGGCTAGGTTTGAATTTACCATCCTCCTGCCTCAGCCTCCCAGAGTACGGGATTATAGGTATGCACCACCACTCCCACCTATCATTACAATCTGTTCCACATTTTCTCTATTTTTTTTTTTTTGGTACCGGGGATCGAACTCAGGACCTTATGCTTGCAAGGCAGGCAGCAGAACCACTGAGATAAATCCCCAGCCCAATCTGTTCCACATTTTGATAACTGTATCTCAGCATCAATAGTTTCCTTGTTACCCTATAGGTGCTTCAGCTTGTTTCCAAGGCATCTGAGGCAGAGAGCAGATTCAAGGGCTTTCACACCCAACTTCTAATCTCAAACTCATCAGTAGCCTCCCCAAACTGATTGATAGCCTCCAGTATTGCCAGAAATAGCCTCTCCCAGGGTACCTGATGCCATCACCACCATTCTTGCCCCAGGGGCAATGAGGGAGACCTCCCGACAACTGCCTCTGGTCCTGTCACTCCTCCCAGCAAGATGGGACATCTATTCCCCAATCCCTCTTCAATCTGGTGGCTTTGTGACTTGTTTGAGTGACAGCACAGTGGTAGTTCCCACACAAGTTCCCAGCCTAGATGGCAAGAGGCCATGTGTATTTCTGTCCCTTACTTTCCTGTCATTGTCATCACAAGGACGTACCTGGCCAGCCCCTGGTTACAGGAGGAGGATGAGGACACATGGAGCAGAGCCACTGCATGAGCCAGCCTGACATAGCCAACACTAGCAACCTCAATTCGTAAGGATTTGTAAGCCACTGAGTATGGGGACAGTTTGTTACACAACATGGGCTGCTAACAGAAAACAGACAAGAGTCAGAGATGACAGGAATCACGTAGAACCTAGGCCTGGAAACCTCCATTATCAGGTGCGCCAACCCCACTCTTTAGCCTTGTGGCACTGAGGCCTGGCCTTGTGGCGATGATGTCACACAAGAAAGTCACAGTAAAGGAAAAAACCAATCAGCCCTTCAGGAACTTAGGCCTATTCTCTCTCCACAGATGGGCCACGAGCAGTTCCAAAGTCACTTCAAGTCTCCATGGCTCCTCAAAGCAGCCCCTTCCACCCTCTAGACATCACTGAGCAGAGTGGGTGAGCCAGTAGGCATTTGCTGGAAGGATCAATTAGATTATTTCTAATGCCTGGTACTCAGTAGATGCCCAGCTCAGCAGGACACTGTTTTTCATGTCCAATGTGGCCATAAACTTTTTATCTTTTCCTTCTTATGCTTAGGAAGTTTCGACCTGCTCAGCTGAGGAGAGTAGGGGAAGAATACTAAGTCTCAGTTGGACAGGAGAAGTACCATAACTTCTGGTGTTTCATTAAACCATGGGTCAACTTTAGATAATAATAATGTACTATACATTTCAAAAAAGTTAGAAAAAAGTTTTGATTTCACCACAAAGAAATGATAAATATTTGAAGAGATAAACTTTTCCAGATTTGACCATTACAAAATGTATACATGTATCAAAACAGCCCATGGTACACCATAAATATGTATAATTTTTGTGTCAATTAAAATACATACATTTTCTTTTTAAAAAAAGAACTTACATGGTCCTGGCAGCCCTGATCATGAGGCTCCCACTCACTATCCAGGTCCTTTCTTCTGCTCTCTTCTTGTCCACAGACTTCTGGAAATTTTGTCTAAATTGTTTTCCTCTCCTGGGATGGCTGCCCTGGCCTCTGGCCATCTGCTGGACTCTGTGCTCCCTAAAATGCAGACTCTTCTTATCCCACCCACCCTCATGCCTCATGCTGGCTGATCTCAGTGGCTTACCTGGACCTGTCTCCGAGCCTCTGTGCTCCGATCCCTGGGACCGTCCCAAGTTATCAGACCTGGTGTCCACCTCCCCAGCCTGCTGTCTCCAGACCTCTGGAGGGAGGTTCCCTTGGTTTCGTAGCTTGTTCTCACAGAAATGTGCACACTGCTTGGGGTGCTGCCCGCAGATGGAGATGCAGCTGATGCAGTCTCTCAGGAGATGGTCATAATACTTGCCTTGCTCCTTGCGGCAGCTGAGGGACTCTGGGAGACAGAAATGCATGATCCAACTGGATGATATAGGCTGCAAAAGCTCTGGCCTGGCCTCAAAGAACATCAAAATAAAACGAAACAAGCAGTCCAATTCTCAAAAAGCAATTCCAGAATAATCCAAATATTTTTACAATAAACAAATTGAAGGCTATGCATCACCCTCGAACTACTATTCTAGCTGCACTGCCCACATTTTGATATTTAGTATTTTCTCTTACCTAGTTCAAAATGACTTTTATTTTTTATTTTTATTTCTTCTTTGACCTATAGATTCTTTAAAGGTGCATTTTCTAGTTTCCAAACATATGAAGATTTTTTATTTATCTTTTAAAATTGATATCTAGATTATTACATTGTCATATGAAATCTTTGCTTGCCTTTTTCAAACCTCTTCAAGGAAAAAATGTGTTTCAAATTAGCATAACGAACATGGAAGGAAAGCCAGAATCCTTGTTGGCAAGTTGGGAGAGGGGGGGTGGGAGGAACGTGGAAAAACTCAAATTAATAGTGCTTCTTCTGTCTTAAAAATCAGTGAGAATGGCAGCTGGTTAAACAAGTATTGGTGCCAATGGACAGAGGTCAAGTCAACTAAAGCGCAAGCACATCTACCTCCAGGGAGCACAAGAAACCCAACTCTGTGAGCATAAAAGAAATATATTGGAGGGCTGAGGTATGGCTCAGTAGCACAGCACTTGTCCAGCATACATGAGGCCCTAAGTGCCAGTCCCAGCATGGGGTGGAGGAACAGAGAAAAAGAAAAGGAATCTATTTGAGATAATCATTTACCTTCTGGAAAGCCTCGGAATGTTTTTACTTTCCAACTCAATCAAAAAAATGAACAAGTGTAATGAATAGACACTTCACAGAAAAATAAGTACAAATGTCCATTAAATAATATGAAGAAATGTTCAATCACTGGCCATTAGAGAAACACGAATTAAAACAACTTTGAGATTCCATCTTACCTCAGAAAGAATGTCTATCATCAAGAAATCAAATTATCACAATGCTAGAAACTGCAGGGAAAAATGAACTCTTCTACACTGTTGGTGGGAATGTAAGCTACTACAACCTCTATGGAAATCAGTATGGAAATTCCATAAAAAACTAAAAATAGAAATTTCATTTGATCCAGCTGTTCCCTCTCTAAGTATCTTCCCAAAAGAGCTAATGACATCATGTTACAGACATATATGCATGCCCACATTTACAGCAGCAGAATTCATAATAGCTAAATTTTGAGAGCAGCCTATAGGTCCATCAACAGATGAATGGATAAAGAAAACAACATATTTACACATAATGGAGTAATACTTTGCCATTAAAAGGATAAACTTCAGTCATTTGTAGGAAAATGGATGTGCCTTGACACCATAATGTTAAGAGAAATAAACCAGACACACAAGATGAAGTATTGCATTGTTTTGCTTACATGAAAGACCCAGAGTAAAAATAGAGAGAAAAATAAAAGATAGGTAGGAGGAAGTAGGCAGAAAGATCATTCTCAAAGGAGAAAGGGATCAAGAGATGGAGGGGAGAGGGAGGAAAGGGATGAGAGATGAAAAAATGAATCAGGATGTGTTATGCACATGTACCCATTGTACACAAAGAATGTAAACATTATGTTCTACAAACATGTACAAAGAAAGGAAAAGGATCAAAGGATGGATGGAGGGGTGAGGGAGGAAAGGGAAAAGGGATGAAAAAGGAATTAAGATGTGTTAAGTACATGTACCAACTTCACACAAGGAATGTAAACATTATGTACTACACACATGTACGACCAAACTAAAATGTTTTAAAAAGAAAAAAGAGTGCCGGGGATTTGGCTTAGTGGTTCCGCCGCCTCCCTTGAAAGTGCAAGATCCCGAGTTTGATCCTCAATACCAAAAAGAAAAGAGAGAAAAGAATAATTTTACTTTCCCAAGGTAAGTTTCCATTATCTTTAAGATTCTGTTAGGGCCAGGGATTTAGCTCAGTGGTTCTGCCGCCTGCCTCGCAAGTGCAAGGTCCTGAGTTTGATCCCCAATACAAAAAAAAAAATCAGTTGGGCATAGAAAATAAATAAAACCCTGATTCTTGAATTCAGAAAGTCATTATTAAAAAAAAGATTCTGTTTATGTGAAATGTGACTCACACACAGAGTTGAATAGCACATTTCAGAGGCACTGTAGGATAGCGGCATATAATACAGACATCAAAGCCAGGCAGTCTTGGTGATGTCCTTGCTCCGCCACTTGTAGGCTATGTCACCTTAACTCTCCATGCTTCAATTTTTTTCATTCCCAAGAGAGGAACAATGATAATGCTGACTTCTCAGTCAGGGTTCACTGGAAGAGCTGAAACACCCAGCACTGTGCTTGGTGCATAGTACCTGCTCAGTTAATGGAAGGCTTGACCAGAATAGTCATTTGAGCATCTCTACAATGGAGACACACACACACACACACACACACACACACACACACATCCTTGACAGAGTAGATACCAGAAAGATCATGGAACTGGGGCTTCAGGGAGGACTCAAGGGCCCCAACGGGCCTGCCCTGCGCTTCACAGCACTTGCACCATCACTCATGTTGCCCAAATACTGTTCTCAGGGTTTCTGTGACCTCCCACCTGCCTCAGAGGTCACAGACATGGCTGCTGCAGGTGGTACCTGAATGCCTCAGACCTCATAGCTTGCCTGCACCTCAGGATTTTGGCATTCCTTATCATGTCTTCCCCCACTCCACCTTTTTCCATGTTGGTCCCTCCTCCAAGACACTCTTCCCTCTCACGTGACTTCTGCACTCTATTATCTCTGAACCAGCCACCACTCACCCTCCATGGTATGCTCCCATCATCCAACTGTGACTTCTTATAGTACTTACCCTTTCTACCTTGAAAGGCAGTCATTTCTCTCATTAGAGGACAACTTCCTTGAAGGGTCAGGCCAGATTCCTATTTTCATGGAACTAAAGGATTCCATTTATATTTAGGAGATGAAACAATGAAAGTTCTAATCGATCAATGCATGGTGGTTCAGGGCCATGGTTTTAGAGTCAGAATCCTGAGTTTAAATTCTCACATTTTCACTCTCAACTATGTGATCCAATCAACTATGTAAGCCAGTCAGACCCTCTGTGAGCCCCACTCTGTGTGTATTTACAAAATACTATGTGTCAGGCACTGTGCTAGGCTCAAGTTAGAAGTGGCTCTTTCCCCTCAGAAAGTGTGGTCTGGTGGCTGAGTCAGACATGAAATAAGTGCCCACCAAAGCCCATAAGAGTAAATTGCAAAAGATCTATCAAGAAAAAAAATTATAAAAGAAAAGAACAATGAGCCACAGATACTTTTTATGACAATTACAGAAAAGTAGGTATGGCCTAAGTATTAGACTACATTAAGAAATTGTTGTGGGAGCAATGAGATGTTGAGTTTGTTTTTGAGGTCCTGTGTGTTAGGGATTCGTGGGTTAGTATTTACAGGTAAAGTGATATGAGGTCTTAATTTTCTTTAAAATATATGTCAAAAAATTGGGAAATTAAAAGATTTTTTTTATGCTGATGAGACATACACAGAGGTTTGTCATGCTATTCTTTCTCTGTGTTTGTGTATGTTTGGTAATTTTTAAATAAAAAGTTTTATAAGAAGGTGACAACAGAGAAGGACAAAAAAGAGCCTAATTGCTACTGGGTAGTCAGAGGATAATTGGCTGAGACCTGAAGGGTAAGTAGGAGGGAGTTAAGGGAAGATGAATGAGGAATGTGCATTACAGGCAGAGAAGAGAATGCAACATGTTCAGAAAGCTGGTATGTGGCAGGGCAGCCAGAGCAGAAAGGTCCAGGGTAAAGAGGTGCCATATTGTGAATTTTTTCCCCCACCACTGAAAGCAAGGGGCTAACAGGAGCTCAGGGGGAATGAAGTGGTGTGGTTCACTGTCCCCAGGCTCTGGCCCAGAACTCACTGCAGAAGGCTGCACAGGTGTGCTGGCTCCGATTGCTGCAGGCTGACTTGCAGGAGATGCAGCTGCTTAGCAAGTTGTCCCAGTACTGCTCTTCGGGGCAGGGCCCCATAGCCACTACTGGCCACAGGCCCTGTGGAACTGAGAGATAGGAAGGAGTGTGAGGGCAGCTGATGTGCTAGTGGGCACCCAGGCAGCTTCTTCTGCCAACATCCCAGAGGCATCCCCTCTGTCTCAGTAGGCAGGGGCAGCCAGACAAAGCTGGCTCCAATGCCCACTGCACTCAGTGGGAGACCTAGGGGTGCCACTTCACCTCTTTAGCCTCAGTACCCTCCCCACTCCCCCTCTTCTAAGGGCCCCTAACTTCTCACATTGGCTGCACCCTGCCTGGTCCTTCTCTCTCCTTTCTTTCACCCTCCCTTGACCTGCCACAAGATCTTTGCATAGGATACTCCCATTGCACACTCTCTTCCCTTGCAACCCTCCTCATCCTTGAGATCTCTATTCAGACCCCACTTCCTCAGGGAAGGCTTCTGACTCTCCCTCACACTATGCCAAGTACCTTCCACACATTCATAGTGTTCACTTTCCTTTTATGAGTGTGGTTATTTCACACCGTCTCCAACACTAATGGTGGGCATCATGTAGTGGGGCCTATGCCTAAATTTTTGTTCATTGCTGGGTTCTTAGGACCTAGATAGTGCTTAGGAAATACCAGGTGCTTGAGAAAACTTCCAGGAAGGTGGCAAGTGATGAATGAACAGCAGAGAAAGAGCCTCTCCTAGATTCAGTGTCCAGATGCTGGAATATAGCAATGTGCAGAAGAGAAGGGGAGTCCCCAGGACCCAGAAAGGATATGAAGCAAGAACTGAAGCCCATGGGGAGAGCGAAGAGAAAGATTTCAATGAAGAAGAAGGAGGTGGCAAGTGGGGCTTTCCCCCTGAACCCTGGCTCACTGTGTGGAAGGGGTGGCTCAAACCTGCAGTCACACTGTGACTCCTAGTAACCCCAGAGGCCTCCACAGAGAATATGTACCAGTGGAACAGAGCAGTGGACACAGTGGACTCTGATAGCTGGTGAGTTATTTGGGATCAGACACACCCCAGGAGAGGGTGATTGGCCAGTAGCCATCTTGGAAAGGAGCCAACTGAGTTCAGAATGCAGAGCAGCTGCAGGCTAACTCCATCTAGCAGCTGCCATCTAGTACTGCTGAGTTAAATCAGCCGGAGGTCAAAGAACCAAGTTCCAGCTGGCAAGAGGCACACGGTGTATCTGGAACAAATCAGGTCCCAGCCTCACAGCTAGAAACCAGCCTTAACTTTAGTAGAACTAAAGATGCAGGCTTACTGGGATTATCCACTACTCTGCCATAAATCTATGACTGACTTGGTGGGATTAATCAACACAGATCTGGGCTCTATCTGCTCACTCTTTCTACTAGTGACAACAGAGATGCACCTTGAGGTAGACTTTTTTCTTATTTTGTCTTTTTTTTTCTTTTCTTGTTTTTGTTTTTATTTTTTCTTGACCATTCTTGTTTTTATATGAGTGTGAACATTGTTTCTAGTTTTGTTGCTGTTATTTTTGTTCTTGTTATTCTTTCTTCTCTCTTTCCCTCCTGTCTTCACCACTTTCTCAAAGTTCTTCTAATCTTCCTGTATCCTCCAGCCTTGCTTAGAATCTCTTCTTCTTCTTCTTTTTCTTCTTCTTCTTCTCCTCCTCCTCCTCCTCCTCCTCCTCCTCCTCCTCCTCCTTTGCCCCTAAGCCCTTTTAAATTTTCTCCCCAGAGGGTCACATTCCCATACTGAGGACTTATGTTCTGGATACAGTTTTCTGGTTTGTTTTAGATTTTGTTATATAGCCACAAATCTAGTTCATACAGTTAAAGGTGGAAAATTAAGTAACCACAGTTTGTCATTTCTAGGCTGTGTTTGATGCTATAGTTATTGTTGATTGTACTGCTTTAGCCAATGTTATATAATTGTTTCAATCAGTTGTTCTTCCTGGTATGGCAAGACTGAGATTGCCTAAGGGTCATAAACAATACTATAGGCCAATGCCAAAGAACCAGGGGCTAGGCCAAATATGCAGCAACTTCCCCTCCCCAATAAATTGAAGAAGTAGGATCCTGCAACAGACTCAAAACCCAAAAGCTAGCTACACCTGGATGTCTACAGAGTGTTCCACTCCACTGCTTCTCTGAGAAGCAGTCATTTCCTGAGGGTTCTAAATGCTAGCAATAAAGCTACTTCCCATAAGAAATTTATAAACATCAAGCCAGGAATTAAACTAAAAAATAAAAATAAAAAATGAGAAGACACAGAAGCAAGATGCAACCCCAGACTTCCACTTCACCAAAGGCAAACCCAGGGAACAATTTGAAAGCCACCCACCTGGACTCTCTGAAGTGATAACGGCATAAGTAACAAAGAAATGAATGAAGGTCTAGAAAAAAATCAAATCAGAAATAATTTCTCAGATAACTACAGAGATGGCCAATGTGAGGACAGAATATTAGATGTGAAAAACAGGATTGCAGTTACCAATCATGAAAAGAAAAATTTCTCAAAAATAGCAAAGGACCAGGAACAATAAACCCAACAGTTACTAGATGAGGCAAAAAAGAATAACATAAGATTGATCAAATTCAGTGAAAAAGCAAGAGATAGCACAAATGACATAAAAACCCTGTTGACAGGGGCAGGGATTTAGCTCAGTGGCACCGCGCCTGCTTTGCAACTGCAAGGTCCTGAGTTCAATCCCTGGTACTGCAAAAAAAAAAAAAAAAAAAAAAAACCCTGCTCACAGAAGTAATGGTAGAAAACTTCCCAAGTATAGAAAAGGCATCTGACATACAGATAAGTGAGGCATATAAAATTCCAATTAGCCCTGATCAAAAAAAAAACTACACCAAAGCATGTAATAGTCAAGATTCCAGAAATTCAACATAAGAACAGAATATTAAAAGCTGTTAGAGAAAAGAAACAAATCACCTATAAAGGAAAGCACATCAGAATCACAGCAGACTTCTCAACACAAACCTCCAAGTCAAGGAGAGCTTGGAATGAAGTATTTCAAGCTCTAAAAGCAAACAACCTCCAACCCAGATTGATGTACCCTGCAAAACTTTCTTTCAAATGTGATGGAAAAAAAAAAAAAGATAGTTCCATGGCAAAGAACACCTGAGGAAATTCATGACTACCAAACTAGCACTACAAAATGTTGTTCTCAGGACATTCTAGAAAGAAATAACAAGGACTCCAACTCCATGAACCCCAACAGAATGAATCCACCAGGCAAGACAAGCAATTAAGCAGAGGCACAAAAAAGTGAACCAACAGCAAGAAAATAACATGACAAGGATAAGTCAATACATATCTGTTGTAACCATCAATGTTAATGGTCTCAATTCACCAATCAAAAGAAACAGACTGGCAGAGTGAATCAAGAAGCAAGATCCAACAATATGCTGCAAACAAGAAACACATTTAATTAAAAAAGAATTTCATAGCATAAATTTCAAAGTCAAAGGATAGAAAACAATATTCCATGTGACAGAAAACCAGAAAAAAATCAGGGTTAGCTATTCTATTTGCAAACAAAGTGGATATCAAGCCACAGCTGACTGAGACAAAAAAGGTCATTACATCCTCATTAAGGGGACAATCCAAGAGAAATAGATAACAGTCATAAATATATATGCACCAAATACCAGTGCAACCAACTATATAAAACAAATATTGATGGACATGAAAAGTCAAATAAATACTAATACAATTGTAATGTAGGACTCCAGTACCCCACGGTCACAAATAGATCAATTAGACAAAAAATCAACAATGAAATATGAGAAGTGAACCAAACTTTTGAACAAAAAGTTTAGTAGTTGTCTACAGAGTGTTCCACTCCACAGCATCAGAATATACATTCTTATCAGCTGCACACAGGATGTTCTCCAAAATAAACCACATACTAGCTCATAGAACATGCTTAAGTAAATGCAAAGGAATTGAAACTGTCCCATGCATTTTTTTTCTGGTACTAGGGATCAAACTCAGGACCTTGCATGTGTGAGGCAGGCACAGTGCCACTGAGCTAAATTCCCAGCCCTCCCATGCATACTATCAGACCATAGTGCAATTAAATCAGAAATCAGTGGCAAAAGAAACCACAGGAACTTCATGAATATATGGAAATTAAACAACACCCCCTTGAACAACCAATGGGTCACAGATGAAACTAAAGAAGAAATTAGACAGTTTCTACAATTAAACAATAATGCCAATACAACATACCAAAACTTATGGGATGCATTTGAAGCAGTCCTATGAGGGAAATTTGTAGCAGTGAATTCCCATATCAGAAAAACAGAGCAAGTTCAAACAACCTAATGTTGAACCTCCAGCTTCTAGCAAAAGAAGAGCAAATCAAGCCCAAAGGCCATACAAAGGAAGAAATTATAAATATCAGAGCAGAAATTAATGTAATGAAGACTAAGAAAATAATGCAAGGAGTCAATTAATCAAAGAGTTGGTTCTTTGAAAGATTAAATAAAATTGACCAACCCTTAGTCAACCTTATCAAAAAAGCAAAGAAAAGACTCAAATCCATGCAGTTAGGAAGGAAAAGGGTGAAATCACCACAGATTCCGCAGAAATCCAAAAGATCACCAATACCTACTTTGAGAACCTGTATTCTAATAAGATGGAAAACCCAGAAGAAATGGACAGATTCCTAGATACATATGAATTTCCAAAGCTGAATCAAAAAAATATAAAAATTCTAAATAAACCAATATCAGTCAGTGAAATTGAAGATGTAATTAAAAACCTATGAACAAAAAAAGCTTGGCTATGACAGATTCACTAGTGAATTCTACAAGAAATTTAGAGAGGACTTAATGCCACTACTTGTCAAATTCTTTAATGAAATTGAAAGGGAAGCAATACTCCAAAAATCATTCCTGGAAACAGGCACTATGCTGACACCAAAACCAGAGAATGATCCAACAAAAAAAGAAAACTATAGTCCAATCTCTCTAATGAACATATATGCAAAAATCCTCAGTAAGGTACTGGCAAACAGAATGCAAGAAATCATCAAGAAGATTATACACCATGACCAAGTAGGATTTATCCCAG